CGCCTAAAATCCCGATTAACAACGCTAGAATAAAAACACTCGCTACTAAACTACCCAACACACGAACACCTAACAATATACTTTTAGGGTGTCTTTGTATATCAATATACTTAATTTATACTCAAAATCTAACTCAATTTTAATTTGACTATATTATCTTTAATATTATCAATATAATTAAATAATATTCACTAATCACTCCTAGATAACATCAACTTTAATTTATTATTTATCCACTCACATAATTTTAACTAACTATCAATTTAATATCAATTTTCCTATTTTTACATTAAACAAATTTCAATTATTTTGTTTAAAATATTATTTTATTATAAAATCAAAACATCATTAACATCTAATCATATCATTTGTTTTTTTTTAAAAAAAAAATTAATTCTGATTAACTAAAAAAATTCATTTCGAGCGATATATTTGTATTCAAACACGCTGTTAACTAACTCTTCATTTGTAGGTGGTCCCATTTTACATCATAAAGTCAAAATTATAAAGTGTATTGGATTTATTTTTCCTTTTGCAGCAAAGTTCAGTAGCAATTTCGAAGTTAATCAATGAAATATAGGCCCGCCTCCATAAAATTTATAGATAACCTTTCATTGGCCTAATTTCACCATTAGTTTTGAACAATTATTATCATTTTTTAATAGATAATAATAATAATAATAATAATAATAATAATAATAATAATAATAATAATAATAATAATAATAATAATAATGTGATTTATTAACTCCATTTTTGTATGATGGGATAATGACACATGCACTATCTATTATATAATATCTTTTTTTATTTTATTTTTTTCAAAGCACATGCACTATCTTTTATACTAGTATGAGTCCCGTGCAGTGCACGGGTAGGAGATATTCACTAATATTTATAAATTAAAAGTTCTTATTAAGCAATATTTATAAATTAATAATATGGAATCAATATATAATACAATTATTTATTCTAATTTATAGAAAATGTTATAATGTTTAAATTGACAAAATTACATAAAAATATCTATTCAAAATTAGTACACAACCCGTGTGGTGCACATAACTGATAATAAATCACATTGTATTCGTTTCAAAATAAGTATCATTTCAAAATTTTTATTCATAATTTCGATTTGATTATAATGTGATTCCATAAAATAGTTATTTTGGTAAAATATTATCATATATTTAACAATCTATGTGAATAATAAGTATAAATATAAAATTTAAATCGTTTCATTACTTAAAATAATATATTTTTGTATAAACTATTCAAATAAAAACAATTACACAGTTGATTAATATATTAAACATATCTGACAATTTCGTTTACGTTCAAGTTAATATTGACCCAAAAATTATGAATAATTATCTTTTTATTTTAATTATCAATAAAAACTTTTTTATTTTTCTTCAATATATTATATACCAAATTTAAACCATGCAACTAATAAAGGTAATAACTGCAAGTTTTGTCAATATATTATATTCCAAATTAAAATCATGCAACTAATAAAGGTAATAGCTGAAATATTTGACCAAAATTATTCTGTACATTAATTACATTAATTTAGGCGGGATTTTTCAAACTTTTTGGTCAAAAATATTACTCAATATAGTAAACACTTTAGGCGGGAAATCAAATGTTTTTTTGCTGATTTTTAGTTGCTATTTTAAGTAAATATCACTGCCTCATTATATATTAATACATATCTACACGATTAACACATGGACCGGACTTTAAATCTTATCTTATAAACTAATATTTCCTCAATTTCAATAATTAGTATATTAACTAATATTTATCATGGTATTGTTAGTTGGCAAATTATGGTTTTAAATTAACGAATGTCTACATGATACTATGATAGACATAATGCGGTTATAAAATATTATCTACTAATATAACCATATCATCCAATAATTATTATCATTATGATTTTTATTATCAAATAAATTGATATAAATTTGTATGTTATTGAGTTTTGTGATATAAATTTGTATGTTATTGAGTTTTGAAAATTTGATAAACCAAATTGTAGACACTGAGTTAATATATATCTTGGTATTGTTAGTTTGCAAGTTGGAGTTTATTTAATAATAAGTAAGTGGGAATCCAAATTCTATGAACAATTATTTATCTATATAATATAGCATTATTTCATTAATTACAAAAATTAGTATATTAATTATTAGGTGAGTTTTGAAGATTTAATAAACCAAATTGTAGATGAGAGTTAATATATATCTTGGCATTGTTAGTTTGCAAATGACATAATTTCAAAATTAGTCCTATAATTTGGCCACAGTCCAAAAAACCACTCCTATATTGACCACTTTCAAAATTGGTTCTATAATTTCAAAACTTAATCAAATTTGGTCCTTTTTATCCGGAACATGGATTATAATGTGATTAAAATAGGACCAAATTTGATTAAAAAAGGACCAAATTTGATTAAATTCTGAAATTATAGGACCAATTTTGAAAATGGTCAATATAAGGGTGGTTTTTTGGACTGTAGCTAAATTATGGGACCAATTTTGAAACTAATCCGTTTGCAAATTAGAGTTTTGTGGAACAAAAATCTCTACATGATAGACATTAGGACTTTAAACTATTATCAGATAATATTCCATATATTTCAAATTATAAATCAACTAATCTAAATCTATGAATTGTCAGTTTGGAAATGAAAGTTTTTTGTTTTCACAAGTATCTACATGATTAATAATTGTGGGCTTTTAAAATATTACTAACGAACATACCATATTAAATTATTATGAACTATATGTTTTCACAATGTTAAGTGGGATTTCAAATCCTATGGAAATTATTTATCTATAATGTATTATTATCTCATTATAATATTAATTACAAAAATTAGTATTAGTATTAGTATATTAATTATTAGGAACAAAATTGTAATCGAACTCATAATTTCAAGTAATATTTATCTTTATTTTGCCGACCTATTTCATTAATCAAATAATTTATGTCCAATAGCTATTAATTAAATATATAAAAGAACTCAACTATCATGCAAAGGGTGTCCTATTAATTCTCTATGGAATATTATCTTATCTGATAAGAGGTAAAGTTTTAATGTCTATCATGTAGAAGAGAGTATCCACAAAATATCCACAAAATTGGGATGAAAAATCGGGAAAATCAAATCCTCCACTAACATTGGCACATGAAAATTTTCAAAAAAATTAGGAAGTCCACTAACATGGCAAATGAAAATTTTCAAAAGAAGGTTACTATATTTAGTTAGGTTTTAAGCGGGATTTCCAATTATTTTTTACTTACTATTTTTAAATTATTTAGCTCTCCTCTATATATAATAATAGATAATATTTGCATGTTTTTGCATCACAACCGTAATTCAGACATGATACCAGAATTTTTTTACCAAAAAATTAAAAAAAAAAAAATTAAGTTGTGGAAAAAAAATACACAAACAAATGAGAGTGGACCAAAATAAAAATCCCGTATTCAGTGAATACGTTTTATCATTTTTTTAATTGTAACACTGAATACGTTTTCTTTTGTAAAAAAATCTGAAAAAACGTATTTAGGGAATACGTTTTCTATACAAATTGTGTAGAAAACGTATTCTTTAAATACGTGTTTTCTATTATTGTCCACTCTTTTTTTTTTTGTCCACATGTTTTTTTATTTTTTTTTATATTTAAATTACTCCTTGATAGCAATCCGAATAAAAATATTTTTAATTATATAAAGGATAAAAAAAAAAAAATTATGTGTGTGTTTTAGTAGTGATCATGATGTACAAAGTAACATAATTAATGTAACACTTTTTTTAGATCTGCCTAACATTAATATATTTACTGTATCTCTTCGTGTGTTTTTTTTTTGTTTTTTTTTTTTTAACTAAAAAAGTAATGATTCAACTAATTTTAACGATAGACTCTATTAGCCAAGCATTTGTATAAAATCAGCAACACTTGACTTAGTACATGATAGCGAAATACGTTAACTTATAGCTTATTTGGTTAGTTTATAAGATTCACGTATTCAAATAAGTCTCGTTTGGTAGAACAAGTTTTTTTAAAATGTTCGAGCTTATCTCATAAGTTTCTTTAAGTAGCTTTTCAAATAAGCTAGCTGAATTTTTATTTATTTTTTTCAGCTAGCTTATCAACTAATATTACCAAACATTTTTATCATATAAGCTAGCTTTTCAGCTATAAGTCATAAGCTATAAACTCAAAATTCACATATAAGCTATTAAGCTATTCATCTGTTAGTTTTACCAAACATAACCTTAATAACAAGGTGAGTAATTTCCAAGACGGACTATGATGCATTTATTAAAAGAAAATGCAAGTAAATGAAGAAATGGGGTAATGCTACGGTCCCGTTGAAATTATTTCATCGAAGTTTGTAACCGTTAGATCATCATAAAACCGTCGAGGATAGTTGATCTAATGGTTATAAACCCCGACGGAATGATTCCGTAACGAGACCGTAACATCTGCCGAAGAAGTGTTAAAACGTAGATGGTGGGGGTCGAAATGGGAAATCAATAAAAGCGTGGGCAGTAGTATGAAACACGGCGACGATAAATATACAGACAAAATGAAGAATTTTGTCCCGTTTGGTGAGGTGGGACACCATTATCGTTGGCCACCCAATTTCAAGCAAATATCAACCCTCTTCCACGCATTTTCCATTTTCTTTCCTAATTACACTCTCTAATCTCTCTCTCTCTCTCTCTCTCTCTCTCTCTCTCTCTCTCTCTCTCTCAGAGGAAGCTGTGTTCTGCTTTCCTTCTGCTGTTTCCTTGATTCAATCTGAACGCTTACCAAAAGGACTGCCCACGTTTTAGGGATTTTTCTTCACTTTTCTGTTTTTTTTTTTTTTTTT